GTAAGAAATAACATGGTTTTGCTTTCCCTACTTACCACCAAAGTCACGTCCAGCTAAACCAGCAGCCCTTCTGGACCTTCTCTGTGATACTCTCCGGAGTGCTTTGCTGAGTTAATTATACTCGACATAATATTCCGTTGTTTCATATCTAATGGTATTGGACACATAGAGCTGTGGCATGATTTCTTGGTAAATACAATTGATCAGGGTATCTTTGCTTGATTTGACCAAGGGTATTTTCCAGATCATTTTCTATTTCTGATTTTAGAATATACTTAATGTGATCATCGTAAGACGTTCTTTCTACAAATTCGATGGGAAAGCAGTAGAATTGTTGTCTTGAATATCACAGCTCCATACTCAGTTGGTGTGAATTTTGCAGATTTTGAAACAGCCTGGTATTGAAACTGTCACTTCAGTTAACGGTGTTTCTCTGCTATCATTAGTTTTGCGTACAGCACACTGCGATCTGGTATAATTACTTTCGCATCGTCCCTCGTGATTTGAAAAAAGGGCGTTTTTGTCATCCCCAACCAATTCTTTTTTTGCAGTGATTGTTGCTGGTTTATGTTTCAGTTTGCACGTGATAGTAGGCCTCAATTACAGTTTCCAGATGTACCTACACGTAAGACCACGTATAGCGCGAACTGTTAACTACCGACCGTGAAAAATCGGAATTAACCCCGTTTTTTGTCAGAGGAAAGAAGCGTTTATACTGCGATTGACATGCTTAACACGACCTTGGTTTGGCACATACCAGACGTCAATTTGTAAGCTGAAAATATTTTTGTTTAATTTTGACAATAATTTTTCAACTCGCTACTCAGCGACCCATTTCCTAAATAATACAACAGTTTTTTGTGATTTTTGCGATAGATTTCGAGTTTTTACAATAAATTTCTTCGATGTTCATAAAAATATAATTAGTAATCAAAGTCATACCAAAATTTCCAAGAGACTATTGAACAATTGTAAAAAATCACACGTTGAGACGCAGGTACGATAGTTGTTTAAAAAGGTAGGAAAGAATGTATCTGTGATCACATTAGAATTTTCGTGCAAAGGTTACAAGTTTAGTTTCACAATTCTTATAACTAGATATAAGAATTTCTCGCCCTTTTGTGGGAAACGGCAACATTTATTTCTCAATTCTTAATATGCATTGTATCACTTTCTACCACAAACATGTAATACATTTTCTATCCATTACCTAAAATTGTGAGACCTGCATATAGTTCGAGTTTGGCAGTAAATATTAATGTTTGAAATATTTTTTCTCCGTCTGGGTTACTGTAAATCGATCAGCTTTTTGGTATCTATGTCTTTCTGATTTTTTAATACATATAATGGGTTGGCAATATTCGACAAAATTTTTTTTTTAAATCATAGGAAGAAAACACATTTTTTACTGTTCATTTCAAAAATCGTTTATTTGGGTTCATGGAGATTTGTGAACATCATTTTTTGAAAACGATATCTGTTAAAGTGCCCGTGATGCAGCATTTTCCATCGTATTGGCCAATGTTTCGGTTGATATGGCGGCTATTTCCTGTCGGATGTTGGAGCCGTTAAATCTGGTGGCGGTGGCCAGTCAAAATCACCATTTTTCGACATCAGACGTCCAGGGAACAATCGTTTCAAAAAATCGATAGTAGCTCGCGCTGTGTGTGGTGGAGCATATCTTGTTGAAACCAGATATGCTCCATACAATTGTCACGAACAATTGGCATAAAAAAATCGGTTACCATGTCGCGATAACGCTTCTGATTGACAGTAACCGCTTTGCCAGCTTCATCTTCGAAAAAGAACGACCCAATGACCATACCGCACCAAACAGTCACTTGTTTTTTTTTTTAATTCCAACTACCACGAAGGCCTAAGGCCTAAACACCTATTGGGTACCGTGGGGCTATAGGGAGATACAGGGGAAAGGGGGAACGCCACACGGACTCTGGCGAGGGAACACGTGTGCATGCAACATGCACACATTCTGGTACCTCTACGTTCGACAGTCAGAGACCATCTACCACCTACGGACAATCACAACATCCATAGCCAAGAGAAAAATTTCTCCTGGGACGGGACTCGAACCCGCACAGCGCACGGCGACTGATCAGGAGACCAAAGAGTCTACTACTGCGACCACCGCTGCTGCCTGTTGGTCACAAAGAGGTCCCTCGTAAATAATTTGAGGATTTTCAGTGCCATAGAACTGAAAATTTTGTTTGTTTACGGCTCCGGTTAACATGAAATTAGATTCATCGCTCATGATGATTTTTTTCCAAAAATGATCGTCACTTTCAGCCATTTCGATGACTCTTTGGGCACATTCCATTCGAAGTGGCTTATCGGCAGGAAACTGGTTTTGTGTCAGTTGAATTTTGTATGAGAACAAATCCAAATCATGACGCAATATGCGACGTAAAGTGGTTCTTTCTATGCTCATCTGCTCAGATCGACGTGTTTGAGATGTTGTTGGAGACCTCTGAACACTGGTCCGTACGAGTGCGATATTTTCATCCGATCGCCTTGGTCGCGTTTTATTTGGACGTTTGGGATTAGTAAGTGCCTCACCTGATGAAAATCTTTCAAACAAACGATACAATATAGTCGCGGAAGGCCCAGTTTTCACTTTATTTATTTTTCTGAGAGCGTTCGCGTGGAGTGTACTGCTCCATTGCAAGAATCTCTTCAGACTGATACTTCAAATTCAAACGCGCTGCGTCATTACTCGATCTGACATCTCTGTCAAAAGTTACAGTGTTGCCGCATCTTTTCGTCAAATATGGCCAACCCATACACGCAACAGTGGTAAGCTTCTTTTCCTTTTTATACAATTTATGAGGACTATTTTCAAGAATTATTCATCCACTGTTATTGAAAGCTATTGATATGGTCCGTGCGTATATACTCAGTGACATTAGAACTGTTACACCCAGAAGAAATAATTTCCTTAACTTGATTTTTTGGCAATGAGTTAGTCTTACATAAAGAATTAAACGATAACATTCTCATGAAATTTTATTGACACGTCATAAAAAAAATAATGTGTTGGGCGACCCCGCAGCTTAATATCCTGTATACGTCTAGGCATCGACAAAATGAGATGATTGATATCAGGCTGTGGCACCTCATTCCAGCCAACTTAAACTTGGTGGATTAGCTGTGGCACAGTCTGTGGCGGATGGTGCAATGTGGATAGTCTCCTCCTCATCATATCCCATATGACGAGCGATATGGAGACGTGCGTTGTCTTGCTGAAAAGAGACGTGTGGAAGGCCCTCAAGATACGGCAGTAAAGTGGTTTGTAGGTCAACATCAGCATAACGCGCAGCAGTCATATTTCCTTGAACAGAGGGAAGGGGTGAGCAGCTCTCATAGGCAATAACCTCCCAAGCCATTACTCCAACAGTTATGTGCCCCTCAACAGCAAATCTAATATCACGCCTTTCTTTATGGCCGCGACTTACCCTTCTACGACTATCATGCGTCCCTAGACAAAGTCGCGATTCGTCGCTGAAGATGACATTATGCCATTCTGCCTCCCAATGTTCCGTTCTATGTTCCAGTTCAAACGTTGATGACAGTGGTCCGCAATCACACGAAGCACTAACCGTGGACGGTTTGAAAAACATACAACGGCTCTTATGCGTCGATAGAGTGTATGCATAGTAACAGGTCTTATCCAAACCACTGGTCAGCGATCTGACGCATAGTAGCAAACCGGTCTCGTAGGGCTAGCTGTCTGAAGTTCCTACCTTAACGCACTGTGGTACGCCTCTGCGTACCAGTAGGCTTTCTTCGTGTTCCTCAACCTTCTTCTACCCACACACGACACACACGCATTACCGTCGTTGCAGTACAATCAACATGGTGGTCAATTTCGCGATAGGACAAACCAACATCTCGATAGGAAATCATTTTACCCCTGTTAAAGTCGCTAACGTGGTGATATTTTGGACGTCTTCGAATTCGAGGCATTTTGTTATGCTTAACACTAGTAAATGAAAGGGCAATAACTAAAAATATCTGTATTACTCAGCTCTCAGAAACTGCTTTCTTCACGAAAGCTAAGGGAGAAAATTTTAGCAAAGGTAAGCAAAAACAAAGATGGAACGTTGACATTGTTGAAACTAAATTTGTAACTGAGAGCGAACAGGAGTTAAGTCCAAAAACAGGATTTTCCAGTATGGCCGCCTAAAGATCGACAAGACATTCATTCTATCGTATCATTCATACGGCTTCGGGAAATATACTATCAGCGTTATAGTAGGCAAATAAAATAGCGTTTTTACAAATACAAAGCAATAGTTTATTGATTTTAACAAAATCTACAAAAATAATGGACTTAACTCTGAGACATTATGAGATAATAGGACTTAATTGTACTTAAACCTTCGTGACATATTCATACTGGACTTAAACTTCATCTTCATCCCTGGCATTTTCACTGTGTCTTTGTAAAACTGATGGAATCTTGAGGGTACCCAATCAAGCAGGTTTATTAAATGTTTATATTTTTTTGTGGAGATCGCTTTCGGACACTCTCTTATGGGTGGGAGTATTAGATTACAAGCATTTTGGTTATGTCTCCGATTAAAATTTACCTCCTCGAACTCAGCCTGAGTGAATTTTGTTTTGAAAAATAGATGCCCAGGCTGGTCTCTTTTTACTTGCAAATGCACAGCTTCAGAAATACGTAAAACATCACCGCTTTCCGATTTTCTACATCTGATGAAAGCTGAATTTTTGTCGCTGTACAGGCTCTTCAAATTTAAAAAATCATTAAGGCTCATGTCAATAACTGTGAATTTTGGAGATGTGATTCTGACAAGCTGTTGCCAGTCCCATGGGGTGGCTATTTGAAAAGCGGGACTTTTCTTGATCTGCTTCTCAATTAACGCATGGTCAGTATCAGCCTCAAGGTGCGTGTGTCCCCTAAGTAAATATTTATGATTTACAATACTTAAATTGGGGCATATATTGAAAATGTGGAAGTATCACATAACCATCATCAAATTTCTATTCTGAGATGGGCAGTTGTCTGACCAAATTGTTAATTCTTCTATCTGGGGATCCAACTGTGAAACCTTTAACCATTTTAAAACTGCAGATGCGACTTCGTTCCCACCACTTCCAGCCACCGTCTCATCCCACATCATACAAAATGTTTTATTCACTGTTGAGTCATGAATGGTAAGATTGAAGGTCCAGAGCTTGAGAGAATAAAAGCTTTGGGAATTTTTCAATAAAGGAGTTGCCAAACATTTTTCCAGATCAATCATGATCACTTTCCTGTTTTTGGCATTTTTCGCACTTTCTTTGTCAGCAGCCTTCATGCTGTATCTAAGTTGCGCGTCCTCGATATGTTTATCGTAATCACTTTGCAAAACTTGACGCTGAGTGGGATCTACTTGATCTTTTAATTTTACAGTAAAAGAATCGCACTTATCGCATGTATCATTTGAGGGCATCTTAAAAGACAGATTAAATTCTGTGTTAAATATATCGCGATAAAGCCACAGCTTGCCAATATGTGCAGGCAAAGTATTTGATGCAAGTGCTTCGTCATAATAGAGCTGATACATTCTGGTTATATTCAAGTCACATTCTAAATACTTTCGGGTTGATTTCTCTCTACTATAGTGCGATTCATAAAATGGGAATCTATTTATGTCTCGCATACCCTGTCTTATTTCATCTGGTATTTTATTTTGTGGTATGTGACCTTTTCTTAAATCACTTTTAATAATACCTCCTAGTAAAGTCTTACGCAGAGCGTGATCCACGAAATTTTGTGATATGTCTAAAGTATTTAAAAAAAATCTTTTGCATACCCGTTTCTTTGAACCTTTGCTGGTTAAGGAATAAATGTAAGTAACACTTCTTTTTCCTTCTCGTGTTCCGGTTCGGCTTCTGTGCCGTTGCACAGGAGTCTCCTCAATACATGATGCCACAAATTGTATTTTCCTATCGTAATAGACATCCTCATTCCAAAAAGACTGTAGAATATTTTGTCGTTCTCCATTTGAGAAAATCTCATGGCATTTTAACTTACAGGTTTCCTTACAACAAGGTTTCAATTTTCGAGCACGAATTTTAGTTTTTCTGCTGGACGTATATTCTTGACCAGCAGTCCGAGCCATTTTCCTTTTGTTTGCTGCCCATTGTGATTCGTTTCTCACCCTTTTTCTCCCTTTCCTGTCTTCACTAGTATTATGATTTTCCTTTTCGCTCAATGCTTCCTTAGCTTCTTCGCCCTGATTGACCTCACTATCATCTGATTCAGGCGTAGAATCTTCATTTTCATAATTCGGATCGTATGCAGTGTCACTAAGGTCAGACGACTCATCCATTTCGTTTTTCTCCATTCCCTTTTGGTTCTTAATTCGTACTAACGTGGGTGTCAGATTGTCTTGATAAACAGTATTAGTATCTTGATCAAGAGTAATGCCTTCCAAGTCTTGTTTATCGATACAATCTAAGGGAAGACTTTTAGAATCGCAGGGATTTTCAAGAATCACAATAGGGAGATCGGCAATATCCCGACAGTAATCAATACCTCCTTGGATATTATTGTCTGTAAACCAAAACAATACCAACTTAGAATTGATGGTGACCTTATAATTGAAGACATAAGTAAACAAAAGTTCTATTGCTGAATCAAAGTAGGACTAGTTTGACTGGTTTGAAGAAAAAGAGTTTGCGAGTGATTTAGACATAGATCCTTTTAAGTCATAGGGTTCGTAAATCTTTAGCCTGCGGTATTATGTAATGTGGTCTACGGAAAGGTTAAGCGCTGCAAGGTTCTAAGATATATTAGGCATGGTATACGGGCTATAAATGCATTCCAGTGTTAAAAATTGCAATATAAAAGTACATCCCAGAGATATGGCTTGAAGAAAATAAAAATAACCGGCCAGGACAAATATCAAGATTATCTGTTATTTACTCCTAAAGGTTCTGTTCTATCAAATCGTGAGCGTTCAACCTTACATTTATTATTATTGTGTGAATAGTAGTTCAGCATGATGTAGAAAGGGTGTGTAAAAGATGAGGAAACAAACTTGCGTTTGAAGCTTAAATCTAAATATTTCATATTTAGACTCTCAACTGAGAGATCAACTATTCATTCATCCAAAAATAAACACTTGACAATGACTAAGTACAACATAGGTGAAAACATTTTCAATATTTTTACACCAAAAATTATAAAATTCACCTAGAGGTGATATGCACCGAGCTCCTGGCAAAAAAATATCCAAATCTTATGACTTCAATTACACTAAGACTTACTTAGATATTATAAGCTCGAATATTGCTATTTAAAAACAGATATTACCTTTTCCTATTGAATTTATCATTGCTAAGGTATTTGGAGGTTCACCCAAACGAACTAAATTGTCTTGCAGTTCTACGTCATTCCTTAATATTGTAGGACAGCAGTCTTTCGTTACTTCTTCACCATCCATAATAGAATACTGTTCAATATTATTACCATAGTATGTTTCATCAACTAAAACACAGGTATTTTTGGAGTGAATCTCATAATCGTTAGATTTATTTAAACTGTGGCTCAATATTTTCACTGAAATTAATAGACACTGAACATCCAAAAGTTTGAAATAATATTTTGATAATCTTTCTGGAAATACTAGAAATGCTGCATCTAAGATCTGAATCCCTAATTATTGAAATTGTTGGATATTCTTGAAGACATGTAAGCATGATTTTCAAACATACAATAAGTAATGTGTATTATTCTGTTCCGAAGTCATTGGAATTTGACCTAGAGCCATTCGAAGTATTCGGGACGATCTACCTGTCATTGTTATATTATTTGTGGTAATTTAAAACCACTTAAAAATAGTATTTTGGAATCTTATCGCCGCTGAATCAGTATGCGTCAAAGTGCGTATGCAGGTTATGTCCAAACCGCTCGACAGAAGCAATGGGTCAAGTGACTTAACTCCTCATTATTAATTAGCACAATGGTTCAAGGTCATTTGAACTATTGTAGCTCGCAGTGATATTGAGACTTAACTTTTTATGATTCCGAAAACTCAGTTATCCTTTTTGTTAGGACTTAATCCAAATTATGATTGCAAAAAGGAGATATGACTATGGCGCTTAAGCCAAAAATCTCTCTCAGACTATATGTCTTCAAAATGAAATCTGTAAATCTATAGGAATTTGACCCCTTGTTGCCTGTATTTAAATCCGCTATAGATTAGAATCAGTGCGGATGAAGATATCAATTTAACCAGTGGCCAAACCAACGTAGAATTGCCATTATTTGTATGGGTGGATCCAAACTGTTAGAATTATCATGCAGCGCAATTATTTAAATTAGCACATGTACAGAACACATATCCCGCAGTTGTAATAACATTGATATTCAAAATTGACCAGTTTATTTGAATTTGCTCTGTTTATACTAATGTTTTAATCAAGGTTATGTTTGGCATTGTATGCTTTGTCCAGTAATTATGTTAGCTAAATGCTTAGCCGTATATGTTTTTGTTAATTTTTTATTTGATTTTTTCCAGCTGTGCCGCATACTTTTTGCTTCAAAAAAATTATTTGTTGAAATCGAATCGAATTAAATTGAATTTCTGTGCATTTGTTACATTGTTAATTTGTTCTTATTCGGAAAAATGCCACCCCATCTGTTCAAACGAAAAATGGCTCTAAAAATCAATTTTGGTTACTGAGACTGTACGAGTACTGCGACAAAAGAACCAGCTGGTCGAAAAACCCACAAAAATAACATATATAAATAGTATAATATAATCATATCTTTAACATATTTTCGACCACATACATGTGTTGCATTGTGAAAAGTTTCGGATCTTAAATAGGTTTTGTGATGCTTAGTACTTTGCGAAGATCGTTATCAGTCATTTTAGTCTTTCTGTCATTTGGGGCTATTGTACCTGCGTATTTTCGGTGTACATAGTAGGCGATGTAGTTAATTTTGAATATAGGTGCAGTTGCGGCAGAGTGGTCTTATATGCAAAAAAGTCCCAAATCATTTCCAAACTGTTGTTCGTTTTTCGTCTTTATGGTGACTTTCGAGGTAATCAAAATAATCGTACAAGGGGCTGCTAAACAACCGTCACCCATGTTCAGCAGGGAACAAAGATATTTGGGCCAAATCTACAACTCGATGACCTAGCGTTTTCCTGAATGCATGAAGTCCTGCAAAGGATCCCAGGTCAAAAACAGTTTGGTCCGGAGACGTGCTCAGAGTTTGGAAGATTCGGAAAAATTGTGCAATTCAGCGTTTTGGCTATCCCGAAGTAATATTATCCAAGGAATTGAAAAATTACGTTTAAATTTCGATCCGATTACTCAGTCGGAAAATATTTCAGTCAAAATAAATTGTTAAAAACGTCTCGCTGCCTTAAAAGGCTGACAATCTGAATACCTTCCAAAACGAAAAAGCACACAACTAATTTTTCCCATATATAAATTGAATTTTGTAGTTGGGTCATTTAAATTGACCGAATAAGATTCAATTTTCGAGATTTTGCACCACACTTGACCATAGATTTTCATTAAACTAGAGGACGGGTAATGTCTCATATCGAGCCTAAGTTTTTGTTCTGAAGATGATCTACGGAGTCACGGACGTTGTAAAATATCAGATTTCTAGCCAGAATGGGATACACGTTTAAGCCTTCAAGGTTCGAAAAAATGTGAAATTCTGCCTTACTAGAAACGTTTCCATTTTCTCGCTACTACTATAATTGGCAACGATTATGCCCCACAATATATGACTATTCCAAACAAATCGCAATGACCTGTTTGTTTGCTAGTTTGTTTGCATGCGTGGGAAAAACTTGAAACTGAGTTCTGAACCAGTCAACCTTAACCATTTGAGCTGAAATTTGATACACACGTTTGGTTTTTATGATAATACAAAATTAATCAACTGCCGCTAACAAATCGACCCTTAACATCGTTCTGCCCCAGGGGTTCCATTCTCAGTCCTCTTTTATTTTCTTTATATATTTCGGACTTTACAAATCATATAAAACACTGCAAAATTCATCATTATGCAGATAATACACAAATATAATGTAGCTATTAACGTTGTCGTTAATTCTCTTAACCTAATTGAGAGCGATATTTTCAATATCTCAGCAGCTCTTAACACTAAATTCAAATAAATCTAAAATATTGACTTTAACTTAAGAAAACAGGCGTAGTATAACAGAAAATCTGTGACAATTAGCAAACTAATAAAATTCCATTACCAATTGTAACCATTAGCAAAAATTTAGTATTGTGGTTTGACAGTGAATTAAAATTTGATTTCCATATTAAGGAATTGTGTTCAAAATCATATGGTGTTCTCAATAAATTATATCCTCAAAGAAACATATTAAACAGTAAATAAAAAATATTTTTATGTGACGGAGTTTCATACTGCGCAAGTGTGTATGACCTAGCTATAATAAAAACTGATAAAGACGAGTTGCAACCACTACAGAACTCCTGTTATCGTTTTTCTCTAGGTGTTGCGACCGGAATGCCAAATTTAACTGAACTTTAATTTCAACTGTTTGCTCCTCCGCTGTTTTTCTTGGCACTAAATTTGGAGGCGCTTATGTTTCTTTGAAAGTAAGAGGAAGAGCACTCTAACCGTAAGCATAACTATAGTAGAAGTAGAACCGCTGTTAGAATCACGCACTTTTGCTAACACTGTTTTGTTGAACCGCTATTTTTAATAATCGCTAATCACTGTGCAAGTTGCTGTTAAGAAGTTCCAGAAGAGACCAGGTGCCTCTGCCGATGACCCCACCAAAGGATTAAGGTGAGCACCATTTTAGTGCCTCATGGTTCACCCTCCTTTTTTTTGGTTTTTTTCTTGACCACTTTGGGCCAACCGCCCCACAAGGCATATGGAAATTTGGAGATGTAAGTCATGTGAAAGGCAAGAACTGTGAAATGAACATGGAAAGTCTCAGAAAATATAAAGCTTATGTTCAGTTCATAAGATTTCAGTTAATAGAAAACCTGAATATCTTCTAAATCGACTCAACAAGTTTGAAAGTATCAATAGCTTGGCTACCAGAAATCGATATTTATTAGTTATGCCTGAATACTTCACGTCTCTTCACCAAAAGAACTTCTCTCATACTGCTGTCAAGCTGTACAATAGCCTTCCATTTGAATTCAGTAACTGCACTCTGAATAATTTTAAAAAGTTGAAAGGGTGGCTACTTAGCGGTACGCAATCACTCCCTCACCACACTGTTCGCCCAATCTTCCTGAATAGTTTTTATCGAAAACATAAAATACGAGTATCTACATCTATTTTTAGTAAAGATATAATTCTATAACAATACTGTGCTGATAATATTTATATTCATTCATCTTATAGTAAATTTGATTCGTTTGAAGAAGGATAACTATATATTACCTAGGTGCTTGAACTTTAGGGTTTTAAGTCGAAAAATACTACTATGGTACTCCACCGATTCGATTCGTTAAATTTCAGTGACTTATTCGCCTACTGTTGTTTCTTGCATATACGTATACATATATTGTAAAAGAATGGATTTAAGGCAATTCATTATTATTAGTATTATTATTCTGAATCCAATATAGTGGATGCTACAAAAGGGCGATTTATAGTAACCCGTGTGGTATGGGTATCAAATGAAAGGGTTTGAAGAGAGAAGCGAAAACGGAAATTTGACCATGTAAGTCATGTGAAAGTCAAGAACCGTGCAATGAACACATGAAGCCTCAGAAAATATCAAAGCTTACGTTCAGTTCATAAGATTTCTGTGATTGCTAACACTGTGAGGACATCCGAAATCCAATATGGTGACTGCCGCGACATGGCCCTCATCAGTACCATAATCACTCCTATCATATAGATATCAAATTGAAGGGCTTGACGGGAGAAACAAATCAGGTTCGCCGCAAAATATCGATATATGATTATATGATTTGTATCTATCGGACCTCTGTAATATATATACATATAAATATAAACAAAATAGGAGGCTTTGTGGAGTCCTACTGATAAGATGTATAAAAATTGTATAGAACTTACCAAACTAGTTAATTGATATCAAAATTGATGTCAAAAGTGAAAAATAAATAAAATAAAAAATATATTTTTTTAAAAGTCTCAATTTAATGGAACAAACTAAACATTTAGATATTATCTTTTCCGAATGCAAATATTTAAACGATGTACATGTTAGGTATTGTCAACAGGATAGAGGATGTAACACATTTTGATTTGAAAAGGAATTTGATACGAAGAAGCTTCATTATTGCTTTTCTATCAAAAGAAATATTTTAAAATTTTTAGTTCATTTTGTTATAAGCTAAATAAAAGCTTGTTTTTAAAGATGTGTGTTCTTTACATATTTAGTTCGCTCTATGAGAGTGCTTTGAAGGCCAGCGTAGTAGGCAGCAGTCATAGTGGTGTTGTGGACCTAAAAATCTGATAGTAATATCTCCTTTATAGTGCCAGAACTTTTCCTTTCCGTTGGTGGCTTTCGCTTCCTTGAGGGCTCATTCCACTGATGATCACTGAGAAGTATATGGTCTACAACAGCTATGTGTTACTCGGTGACTGCGTCAGCCGACTGATAAGGATGATCATTTTCTTAAAGGCACACTTATCGCTAGCGATACTTTTTTATCTATTCTGGACTTGATTTTCTGAGGCGATGGTCCCTCTTGCGCCGATAACTTCATTATTGCCCGGATATAAATTTTTGACACCAACAACATTTTTTCTACTTATCGAAAAGCAAAACAACAGCTTTAACCTGCAGACCAAAAACTTTTGGCACGTGCTAAGTCGAAAATAGAGAAAAGGCCACTCGGACTCCTGGTCAAAGCTCCACCTCTAAGGTAAGTCCTTCAGAAACAATTTCAAAAGATATTACGTCCAAAGACCCCCTTAAAGTTTTTCATTAATTCAATATGTTATAAACGAAGTTACATATAGAATGTGATGTAAAATATGTAGGTCTTTTCAGGCGAATGTCCCATGTCAGGAAAGTGGGTCGATGCCGTAACAATAACACCAACTCCATCCGTCCTTTGTTAATAGACTCGCTTTGGTGCATTTCGGCCCACATTTCATATTGAGCGGGGGCCAACTTCGCTAAAGAAGGCTGCTCGATCACCGATAAAAGTATTAGAACGAACTTCAACAACAACTATTGTCTAGCAAGTTGGATGCCTCGAACTCCATCGAATTGTCAAAGTTCCTACTGCTAAAGCGTTTTTGTGTGCTATGCGCTCGTATAGGGATATTTCGTTGGGTTTTCCAGAGAAATCT